ATCACTAGATATAACATTTCTTTAAATAATTTTTTTTCTGAGTTAGATCAAATTTATAATGGTCAAGGCATATATACCACTTTAGAAAAATCTTTTGAAGAGCAAGGGATTACAGTAAATAGTATAAAAGAGTTAACGAATGATCAACTAATTAAATTAGGTGTAACTAAGATTGGATGGCATATAAATATAAAACAAGAAGCTAGAAAATATTAAAGGTAATACTATTGAAGCTGGTATTTCCAAAGATGATCAAACTCGTGAACATGCTCTTTTGGTTTATACACTTGATGTTAAACAACTTATTGACGCTGTTAACAAGATGAACACAATGCAATAATCTGGAGATTGTTTCAATGAAATCGACAAAGAAGTTTTTGGCTTCATCAAAAAAGTCGGTTACAATCCCAAGAATATTATACAATTATATTGATATGTTATATTAATATAGAAATTTTATTAGAATTTATTAGTCACCATTAATATTCAATAAAAAAAAAAAATAATAATTTATTAGATAAATGAAAATTTTTTTGAACTTTTTAATTTTAATAAAGTTTTTAAAACTGCTGGGTATTGGGTTTTTCTAGATATACTTGCTGATTAAATTATTGCTGTTTCAAAAGTAATTGAAAATAAAAAATTTTTTGATTATCACGAATACTCATTATATAAGCACAATAAAGCAATTACGTATGTTGAAGAAGTCGAAAATATTCTGGGACTAGGATAACACAAATACTACAATATTATATTTATACTAAATAAACCACTCTAACTGAACTCTAATGGTAAAAAGGCTACGATTGAGGCGTGAAAACTTAGAGCAACTAGAGTCGATTAGAGCTCCAGACTACGTCACAAGCTCAATATGGAATCAAGATTTGATCACTAATTTCTTTCGCCATATAGATTTTATTATGTTTGAGTTGAGAGCTGTTTTTATTGAAGACAAAAGGTAGTACTTTTACACTTTTACACTATTAATAAATACATTATAAATTTATTTACTAAAACTATGAAATTCATGAAAGTCACGAAATTCAATAAATTGAATTTGACTATACTGTATTTGGTGGGTAGATTTAATGTTAGACGATTGATAACAAATACTGTATTATGTTTAAGTAAAATATAGGGTTTTATTGCAGTTACGCTTTAAGAGGATTAAGTGAATTGCAATTACGAAAGAGGCTACAACTAGATGTATATGAAGATACAAATAGTTGTATGTGTATACAACAAACCAGATATTGCAAAATCTCTTTACAATAATCATTTAATCAAGACCATTAATTTACTTAATGATTCAGTTGGCTTTATCTCATGTATGAAGACACAGTTTGTTATTTTATTTAATAAGGATGAGTGCAGAACTATCGATTCACAGAAGGATATTAAGTCATTGGATTGAAAAAATATACTTTACAAAATCTGATAATGTCGAGATATGCAATTATTTGCAAATAATAAGCAATATATAGCGCATTATTAGTACTAAGTTAGCAATTTTAATAATTTATTACAAGATTATTTCATTATCAGCACCTTTAAATATCTAATAAATTAGTTAAATAAT